CTGACCGCAGGAATCATGGCCAGACACACCTGGATTAATCAGTTCATCCAGTAATGAAAGACAGAAAACAAAAGATACGCCTTAAATTAAGGAAGTAGTGGAGTTGTGCGTACAGGCCACTGCAGCAATTTTTTTTAAACTTCAGGTTTTGGTTTAGCTTACCTAGGTTTATAAGGAGTTTTGCTGAGATATACAATGAGCAATGATTTCTTAGAAAAATTAAATGATTATGCAAAATGAAAATTTTGATTTTGTGTTATTTTAGACTCAACCTATTGACAATAAATTTTTATTTAGGGAGAGCAATCAAAGATAGAAAGCAGTCAGCAGGAATCAACAATCCCCAGTAGGTATAATAAAATAAATAATATGAAGTAATATTTACTTACATGGAAAAACTTCTCTTTAAAGCAGAGGATCCATTTCTAAATCTGTTCAGTTCATTTTTCAAAGTCTACTTGAAATGTCAGTTATTAAAAGCATAAAATTAATCAAAAGAAGGAATCCGTTGCAACAATATAACTCAGACAGGGATTAGACAATCCTATTTTCTTCGTCTGCTGTTAAATGATCCCTACGTGCTAAATACATACCTATCCTCATGGGCTAGTAGCTTTAACATCCTGTTGCTTCACCCCGATGGCTGAAAAAAGGAAGTATTACGAGAGGGAAGTTTTTATATAGTCTCTGCACAGGTCGATTAAAAGCAGATAAAACTGTCAACTGTAAAAATTTAGATTAAGTATAAACTCTATGAGGAAAGGCGGCTAGCAGTTAGCTATTTTGCTAGTTATCTTTCTAAGCTTGCATTAAGCCATGAAATGTTCTTAACGTAAATGTTTCAAGGGGGAAGTCATTTAGACTTTGACCTTCGACTTCCAGTGTTCTGCGCTGGTGCCCCGCCCTCCATGCACATAATTCAAACACAGAAAAAAGAAGCTACCAAGAGCCTGGGGGGGGGGGGGGGTTATATTTGGTATATAACATTTATAGTTATGATGACATAAATAAAATTAAAAAGTGTCAATCTTTTTAGACATAAGCAATGTTTAACAAATAAATTTTCAAGAAATAATGGACCTCTCTGGAGTCTTTCTTTTGGTGCCCCTCTCCCCCACCTACCAGCGGTTTGTTAATCATGCTACACATGATAAAAAAAAATTATCAAAAGAGTTAAATGTGGAAAAACAGTAGAAAGTAGACAATGTGGCGAGCAGATGAATGGAGAATGGGTGCATGCTGAAAAAACCTTGCAACTAAGTAGTAAAAATTAACATATTAATGCTCAATAATGAAATTTCACTTGAACACCATTAATTTAGTTTAATAATAGGTTAATGCACATGCTTCTGTATGTTTTAACCTGGTTATTCACCAATGTTATTCATCACTGAATCCAATTAAATCTCTTTGAAAAAATTCAACCATGAAAAGGGATAAAAAAGAATAAACAAAGACATGAGAAAATATCCAATGTTCCGCCTGTAGTAAATCAAAGAATATCTAACCTAAAACACTGTTCAAGTCTGTTCATTTAGATTATTTAAAAGTTTCTGAGACTTTGATTTGTTTGGTTTTAATAAGCTTTTCTTGATAAATCCTCCTCAGCAAAACAAACCTTGTCATGGGGAGGTGGATCAGACTAATAAAAACATTTGACACAGCACAAAGTTTAAGTCTTTTTAACAGCACATGATTCATAGTTCTGTGTTTTACTCCGCACTGTTGCATTTATTTCATTTTACTTTGTTTGTTTCCTCATTTTCTTCATAATTGTTCAAGACCAAACCTCATACTGACACTCAGAAGCAACATTATTTTAGGAAATTAAACAAGATTAGACAAGATAAACCTAATGAATACTGGCAAATGACTGAGAAATTCGATAGAGGGATAAGGTGCAAATGGTAGAATGCATTAAGAAACAAAAGTGCAGAGAATTGACAAATAAACAGAAGATTCTGGTTGAAGGAAAAATGTTAGAACAGGGATTCAGAGATTCCACTTGTATACAACTTATTTGAATAGTGTGCATAAGACTGACATTATGGGGGAGTGGCGCACTAGTGGTTAAGGCATTGCACATGGAATCTAGAGGTTCTGAGTTCAAACCCCACTCCCACAGACTGCCACTCTGGGTCCCTGAGCAAAAGACCCTTAACCCCAGACTGCTCCCTGGGTGTACAATGGCAGCCCACTGCTCCCCAAGGGAATGGGTTAAATGCAGAGTGCTCTGTGCTTGTGACAGTATAATGAGAATAAAAAGCTGGAGACATTAGGCTGTCATAAAGATGACATAACACTACATTACGCCAGAGGTCTGGATCTGGAGATTTATAAATTACCACATGTTGTCTGACGACAGTGTCTAAACGTCACTTGCGGCGCTTCTCCTGTTATCCCGAAAATCCCACATCCTCTGTCACCGTTCTGCCCCGCTGCGTTGGAGACCTCCTGCGCAAAACAAAGCCTACAGCCTCCGCTGTTCCTCCCGTATTCAGGGCTGTCAACTCTCACCCATTGGGAGTGAGACTCACCCATCTCAGTGTCTTCACACTCTCTCACTCCATGTTCCCAATTTCTCACACTAAAAAATGACAGACATTAAAACACAACTCCATTCCACTTATGTATAAAAATACCATGGTGATTAAAAAAAAAACAGTCTGCATTTTTAATACAACTTTAGTGCCAACACACAAAGACTAGCCAGTTTATTATATATATATATATACAACTTTGATTTTGCTTCATTTATTTAGTTTAAAATACCACCTCAGGTTCACATATAGCACACTTACTCACATATATGCACTTGCTTCACATATGGAGGAGGTCTGGAGAAATGGCATTGTGTATGAAGGAGCGGATTCATGTGCCAGTAGGCAGGGAGGATGACTATATTCCTCCAACTAAGGGGGCATTTAGATGTAACTTTACCTAACTAGTCCTATTAAGTCCGTTAGTGGGATGGTTTTAATTATCTCAACAAGGTGAGCAGCTGAGTTTCTCTATGGCTTTCTTAAGAAAATTTGTGTTTTGGGGTAGTCAGAAGTAAGGGAATCCTGTTTTCTCTGTTGTAAGTAAGTTTAACATCATAAAGACCTCCTAACAAATGTGCAGTTAAATCATAGAAATCATAAAAAAAAAATCAATCAACTACGAAGAAAATCAACAAAGCATCACACAAAATCATAAACACCATCAAAAAGCTTCACATGATATTTAAAGGAAGATGGGTTAGGGTTCAATGTGTAATAAGATATTTTCGTTACAGCAGTTTTTCACCTGAATCTGCTTGCAAACTACCAATCATAGGCGGTTCTAAAAAGAAGGGTCTCCAGCCTTGATTTAGCAAATTATGCAGCTCAGTAGCAACATATAAATTCAATTCAATTCAATTCAGTTTATTTATATAGCGCCAAATTCACAACACATGTCATCTCAAGGCACTTTACAGTTCAACCAGATCATACAGTCAAATTGATACAAAGTTTTCTATCTAAGGAAAACCAGTTGATTGCATTGACTCATTGACTCAAATACAATCCCTCACAGTAAGCATGCTTGTAGCGACAGTGCAGAGGAAAAACTCCCTTTTAACAGGAAGAAACCTCCAGCAGAACCAGGCTCAGTGTGAGCGGCCATCTGCTGAGGCCGACTGGGGTTCAAGGAGACAGAAGCAGAGATACAAAAAGCAGCTGTAAAAGGCGGCCCCGTCCAGGAAACACACAGCCAGGCAGACAAGCTCCAAGGCAGCTCCCATGCCAGAGGACGAAGAGAGCACATCCACTCAGTCACAGCCAGAGAAACAGGACCACACTGGAAAACAGGCCGATCTCCAACATCTATAAACAAGGGTGTTGATGGAAGCAGCACAGCTGATGTTTCTTTACAGGATGACGTCACAGCCAAACAGGAACAGACGAGGCAAAGCTACTCTGAGGAAAAGCAGAGAGAGCAGAAGGTTAGAGATTGAACTAACAGATTCTGCAGAATAGGAGAACAGAGAGAGAATGAAGCAGAATGATGAAATAGGGGTCCCTATGTCCTCCAAAAGTCTAAGCCTATAGCAGCATAACTATAGAGATAGCTTAGGATATAAATAGGAAAGATACGCATTTCACAGATAATGCCTGTGTGGCTACATACTGCTATCTGTTTCTAATTAAGGTCAATTTATGCTTGTGAGGCATAGCCTCTGCAACCGTCAAATCTGTCTCTGCGCAACCATGCCCCCCGCTCAGAGGTTCTGAAACCGTCATCGCGCACCTCAAAAAAAATCCTGACTACGCGTCAGACGGTCGCAAACCTGCACAGACGTCAAGTGGAAGTGCGCAGACAGAAAACAGCTGTGATTGGTCCTTGGTATGCCTTTCCGACTGTCTGTGTGGTCAACCTTCTTGATTGGGTGCCAGGGAGCGCCATTTTTAAAAACCGAGGAACAACTACAATGGACAGCTACGACGGAAGGTTAATCGAGGAGGTACGGAAGTACAATCCGTCGAAGTTCTTGAACAGGCTCTTCCTTGCGCTTTGGCAGGAAACCGACGGTGCAGAAGCAAAAACTGGTTCGCAACTAGACCAAAGCGACATTCGATGACAAGTAAGGTAGCAAATAAAGAAAAAACATGTTTTTTTGTATCTTTTCTGCAAAGTAACTGGGGGGTTCCTCAGCCGTGGCTCATGGAGTTACAGCAGTTTTCCTGTAGCAGCTAGTTGATTCCCTTTGAAAAGCTCCAGCTCCATGGCTTCTGCTTCATTCTTGGAGTGGCTTTATATTTGCTATACAGAAAAGAGGTGAGGTAGGCAGTGTTCTCCTCAGTTCTCGACACAAAGGGGAAAGGCATTCTGCTACGGTTCTCTTCTCTTGTGGGGCTTTCAGCAGCTGTGAGGTAGCCCACATTTCTCAACTTCGGCTCCGTTGTCAGCAAGACGAGAGCAAGCTGCTGCAAGGTGCATCTGGCTTGCCCGGGCCATCTGGTACACTGCAATTTAGATGAATTTTGCATCTTCAAATGTCCCGAGACTTTCCTGTTCCAACAACTCGGGGGGATCTTTCAGAATTATCTGATAGCTGCTTCCTGTGTTTAACTCTAATTGAGATCCTCCCTACAAACATTTGATAAGAAAAGAGGAACCTGCACTCCAGAGACCAAAGCCGGCATAAAGCGGTTCAGTGAAGGTGGTGTTGAAGGTGTGGAGGTGGACCATTGTGTCACCAGAGACACAGTAGAAGGAGAGAGTCCCAGCAGCACAGTCCACATAGACTCCTATTTTGCAGGACACACAGAAGGAAGAAGTCCGGACAACCTTTTTTTTTCTGTCATGCCAGAAAACATAATCTCTGTCGTTAGTGCTAAAAATACTCCAGGATTGATTATTCCAGCCAAACCAAGAATCAGCATTGATTCCTTTTCTTTTGATCCCTCTGTAGCTCACAGCCACATACACTCCTCCCCTCCAGGTAACCTCCCAGTAGCAACGTCCAGCCAGAGGCTTTTCACACAGAACCTGGCAGCATTCAAACCGCTCTGGATGATCCGGGAATGGCTGCTTTTCTCTTAACCCATACACCCTCCTCGGCTCGACTGGGTTCATTCTTCTGTTTATGGTGTTCAAGTCCAGAGTGAGTTTACAGAGATCTGAAGAAGAGAACAGGAAACAGAAAATCAGCAGCTTCCCTTATAAAACTCCTGAATGTATCAACCAGGAGAAAATATTGAGACATCTTATGAATTCTGCTGACAAATTTTAAGTTAATTTTAGCAATAATGAGAAATCGGGTTTCTGTCATATGGGACCTTAAGCAGTGTTTTGCAACTGAACGTTAATATTAATCTAATCAGAAAGAAACTGAACACCTTTAATGGAAGGTCATATTGTATTAGAGCCAAACTTCTTGGGGTTTTGTTATTTTGTGCTTGGTTTAATACCTTAAAGTCAGAGTGGGTGGTGTTATATGTTTAATAGGAGTCACGGGTAACTTCTCAGCAGGTGTGCTGAGAAGAACGCTGCCTCAGTAAATCCGTTCCCCATCTCAGCCCCCCCACCCAAATGTATGCGATGTATTGAGATGAGCGGTTTGTACTCAGGGTTCCCGCGGGTCCTTAAAAAGTCTTAAAAGGCTTTGAATTCTTCAAAATAAAACTAAGACCTTAATTGGTATTAAAATGTCTTAAATCAGTCTTTCGTAGGTCTTAATTTTTAAAACATCATAAATAGGATTATTTTTATTACGATTTATTTTTGTAATCTAAATAAAAGTTTTTTCTTTTTATAAAAAAAATAATAATAACGGCTCTCCATTATTGGTTCCGTCTCGATAGCGGAACCAATAAAAGCGTTGTTGCGGCCGGGACATTTGGGAGATGGGCCATTAACTTTTTGTCTGGAAAATATGAGCAAGTGTAAATGTAACGAAAATTGTCTCCAGCCAAGAGTTTTCTCCATGGCTAAAACCAGGGAACATACATGAGGCTCAGTGGATTTTGTGCACGAAGTGATTCAAGCTCGGAACGATTGGAATTAAGGCAGTGGAGTCACACATGCGAAGCACGAAACACAAAGCGTCAAAATCGAGTTACCGAGACACAGACGGTATTTCTCAGTTTAGTTCCACCCTTGTCTCTGCAACGCCTCCAATTATCACCAAATCAAACATACTAAGAAAATGATACAAAGAAAAATAGCTGCAAAAAAGACTTAGCACTGGTTATGTTGTGGCTTTAAAACTGATTTGTTTTGTTCCCTGCTAAAACAAAGTTTGTGAATTCAGTTAAATAATTGTTAAAATATATCTGTCATTTGTGTGTTTTTAGCTTTCTTCCTGTATGGGAAGCTTTTCAAAATTTGAAACAATAGTGCAGTGGTTTATGTTAAAATAAACCTTTGGGTTAAGTTGTCGCAAGCTGGTTTTTCTTGTGTTTCTTGTGAATTTGGTCTTAAATTTTTATTTCAAGTGGCATTAAAAAGTCTTAAAAAGTCTTGAATTTAACTTGCCTTATGCTGTAGGAACCCTGGTACTGAAACTGAAATCTCGATTGCAATGTAAATTGTAGTTGACAATAAAGCTTGTTAGATTGTGCTTTTGTGACACATGATTATATTAGCTCGAAAATCATTTTATACGAACCACAATGAAATATTTATATTATTATACTATTTAAACGTTATCGAACAGTTCTCCATTACACAAACAACACAATATCAAAATAACACCCTAAAATACTATGGTTACGTTAAACTGCAGGAATAGATATGAAAGCGTGCAGGTGCACCAGGCTCTTCCTCTGAGCTACAGGCATGGTGCCCCTGGTTCATCAAGGTCTAAGGTGCTGTATTGTTTTAGGAGCACTTGGCTTAATATAGTACGTCATCATTAAACATGATTCAGCTAATGATTTTCGTCCATTTATTTCTATTCTTTTGATTTGTCTGATATCTAGAATGATGATCTCAGTTTGACAAGATCCGTTAGATAGGATGAGTGCAAGGTCGTCTGTTTCCAAGATTGAAATCATACCTGCGATCTTGAAAAACTTCTATTAAATGACAACCCTAAAAAATATAAAGTTGCCCCATCAGCTATTTTGAACTATTGGAGGCCAGGGATATTATGACCCTAGGGTTGTCCATCTTAAAACACATACAGTATAACCTTGTATGTAGACATAAAGCAGCTCTTCGAATGAGCTGCAATTAGCTTCGGGTGTGTAATTTGGGGGACAGCATGTTTAAACCTTTTTTGTATCCGTGCCTTCAACATTATTCAGATCACAATCACACAGCAGCTCAAATATGGGGGTTGAGGATATAAAAATTGAAATACCATCTACGTGCAAAAGGTTTTTCTAAACTAAAACTGTCATGACTCTCATCACAACTCCATTCACCTGTCTAACTTTGCTGGGTTTATATCACTGCTCATCTGATCCACCAGCTCCAGCCTCTATTTAAGGTGTTTGCATCTAGTTATCAGGGCAAGTGGTGAGAGGGTTTTTAGCGTAGTGTAGTATAGTGTTCCTGATTTCCTGACCTGTTCTTTTTTTTTCACTCTCTGCATTTAACCCTAAGGGGATGGGTTAAAAAGACAGCCCCAGAGTGTCAGTCTGTGGGAGTGGTTTTGGAACTCAGAACCTCAGGATTCCAAGCCTTATGCCCTAACCACTAGGCAGCCACTCCCTGCTCTGCCTCTCCACCGCTGGGCCTGCCTCTTCCTGTGTGACATCAGTGGTGAGTGTTTTTAGCATTGCCTTAGTGTTTCTGGTTACCTAGTGCTGTTCTGCCTCTCAACCACTGAGCCTGCCTGTTCCTGTCTGATCTGTTTGCCTGATCTGTCTTTTAACCTTTGGACCTCTGCGCCTTCCTTCTCTGATCTGTTTGCCTGACCTGGCTTCAGACTCTTGCTCCCGCCACATCTTGTTAGCAGCCCGCCACCTGGATTCTACCTCACTTTCAGGACAGGGGAACTGTTAAACCAGGTTAGTGACACACACCTCCATATTATCCTCCATTAGATTTACGTGGTCACTAACCTGTGTTTCCTTTTACAGAGTTTCCTGTGATACACGCCCTAGCCGCTGCTACTCCTATCATCCTTCATTTTAATAAACACTTTTTGGATTGTCCCACTTTCTGTCTTGCCTCGACTACTGTGATCAACCTCAACTTCCTGTTGAACCCATTAATTACCGCTGAACTGCAGAAAATCGTGTTGGGTGTGATCATCCCCATTGACTTTCAATGAGCTCTGAATGCCACGACTTCGTCCGACACGATTTTCTGTCTGATCGGACGCAGAATCGGATTTGAGCTCGGTCATTTGAGAGCGGCTTGGAGTAGACACTTTAAAGGAGAATTCCGGTTTTTAACACTTTTAGCCCATTTTCTGTAGTGTCCAGGATGAAATCGAATGATCGACACCAAAATTTTGACAATTGGTCCTGTCTCTGCTTTTTGGCTCATGCAGAATCCCCCCCTGGCTGCTTCAGAATGGCTTCCATTGTGCATGTCCGATAATGTCCTTAAAACAACCTTAAACATTCTTTTTTTAAAATATGCTACTCACCGGGTCGTCAGCGCTGTTCAATGACGTTCCAAAAAAAGTTTCGTAAAGAAAAAACGTTCCTGTAGTGTTTTATTTAGCATTTTGTAAATCCCATTGAGTTCTGTTGGAATAGTCAATATCCCTCCGCCACCGGAATCGGAAATGGGGCCTGTTTACACATAGTTGTAGTCTTTTCGCAAGGCCCAAGTGTTTTTCCTTACTCTGTGTACTCCGACGTCGAGGTGCTAACGTCTCTGGTAAACACTTTAAAAAACTCTGAAAATGGAATACGAAAGGTGGATTCTTGAGGAGGACATATTGGACTTTGAGTTTGACGGTAGAGGATACCGTCGCCAACTAGTGGTCTGGAGTGTGCAACGCTTCAGATTCGAACGGGAAGCGGAAGTTTATAAGCGGTTGTGATGTATCGGAAAAAATAGTTCTGGGATTTACAAAATGCTAAATAACACAAGACAGGAACGGTTTTTCTTCACGAAACTTTTTTTGGAACGTCATTGAACAGCGCTGATGACCCGGTGAGTAGCATATTTTAAAAAAAGAACGTTTAAGGTTGTTTTAAGGACATTATCGGACATGCACAATGGAAGCCATTCTGAAGCAGCCAGGGGTGGATTCTGCATGAGCCAAAAAGCAGAGACAGGACCAATTGTCAAAATTTTGGTGTCGATCATTCGATTTCATCCTGGACACTACAGAAAATGGGCTAAAAGTGTTAAAAACCGGAATTCTCCTTTAAGTAGAATCAGCTGAGGAGGCTCAGCCATCTGTTTTGGATGCCCCCTGGACGCCTACCTCTGAGGTGTTTCACGAATGTCTCACTGGGAGAAAGCCTCTGGAGTAACCTAGAAACGTTGGAGAGACTATGTCTCTAGGTTGGCCTTACAGCACTTCAGGCTTCCTCCAGCAGAGCTGAAGGAGTTTTCTGGGGAAAAGGAATGCTGGAAGTCTCTATTAAGATTGCTGTCCCTGGGACCCGATCCCGGATGAAGCAGAAGACGAGTACGAGTGAAACGGAAGCTGTGTTAACATTCTCCTCTCTATTCTAATGTATGAGTGGCACAAGTGGCATATCAGCCAGTCTATATGGCTGCTGTTTTCTGTTGAGAACTCCCATTAAGTGATGATGCTACAGGCTGCAACTCACAGCAGACAGCTTTGCCTATTTTAGTTAGTGTTTAATTGATGCTATAGCAAATGGCCAAAAATGACCTATATACTTTGTACTACATTCTCTCATTCACATGCTGATGAGCATTGTAGCTGCCTGCCCATAGCGGTGCACCATCATGAGTCACCTGTCCAACCAAGAACTGCTCAGAGGGACACAATCTGGCGCTTTTATAATAAGGTAAAATGTTCTGCTGATTAGAAATGAAAGGAAAGACACACTTACACTTCAACAGTCCAGGCTTCATCCGTTCCTCTCCTCCATGTTCCATGCTGAGCAAGAAATAAGGACAGAGTGTAGTTTAGATGCTTGTATCAAAATGTATGAAAAACCAAGACAAATGAAAGATCCAGAAAGCTCTCTGTTAAAATGCTTTCAATACTTCTGCCTGATATGTCTCACTTTGTTCAACAAAAATCTGATTATGTGTCTCACTTAAAAACATATTTTGGAATTGCCCCCCAAGATCTAACCGTATGGATGAGATAAAGATTGTTCTTTGCATGGTTCAGACACTAGATCCTTGTTATTTGTTGGCACTGGTCTCATAAGGTGATTCTACCTACAAATTTGCTTTTATAAATAATCAAGTTATCATGTATGTTTTACCTAAGGGTATCCAGTCTCCAGGATGGGTTATTCAGTCCAGCTACCAGCAGTTTGATTCCTTCCTCTCCTGGGTGATTGTAGTTCAGCTCCAGCTCTCTTACATGGTTTGGGTTGGAGGACAAAGCAGAGGCCAGAGAAGAACAGCCTACATCCGTTATCATACAGCCTGAAAGTCTAGATTTACACAAAACATAAATATTAACATATAATATTAATACTTACAACATGTTAGTTTAAATCTAAGCCTAATTAAACTTAAATGAATTATATTCCTGTTGAAATTTACTGTTAAAACTGGACTTCATAATATTTGAGGTGACCATATTTATACTTCAATTTTTTTACATAATTGTTGATTATTTCAGTAATAGGTAAGTTACTTTAGAAAGTAACTAGTTATAGATACCAGTTACTCTTCCAAAATTTAAAAAAGTTAGCAATTATGAGTTACTAACTTGATTACTGTGCAGTGAAAGTAGCCAAAGTAACTATGCAGTTAGTTTTCATGTTTTAAAATCTGGAACTTTAAATACAAATAGAGGATCAATCATGCAATATAAGGTTTGTATTCATTATTGACTAAAATAATTAAAAGGTCTACAAATTAGAAAAGATTTAAAAATAATCTGCATTGATTTGATTTGTGATGTTTGACAAGTGATTCGCAATATAATGTAGATGTGATGAGTTTTATTAATTTAAGATAAGATGTTTTGGAACTATATATTGTTGCACAGTGCCAGCCTTCATTTGGCTATTTATATACACATATATACATATACATATATATATATATATATATATATATATATATATATATACAAAGCAGATAGCAGCCCTTAGGACTATATATTTATATATATATATATACAGAGATAGCAAAAGTACTCACTTTCCGTACTTGAGTAAAAGTACAGATAGTGTTAAAAAATACTCTGGTAAAAGTGGAAGTACTGATTAAACTTCTTTACTCAAGTAAAAGTAACAAAGTACAGGCTTGTAAATTTACTTAAAGTATAAAAGTAAAAGTAGAAACCACTTTTTTCATGCCGTTGCCTACATTTTAAATGGATGTCTGCCAATAGGACTAGATCTCCGTTGTGTTCATTTCAATCATCTCGTCGTCCATACTACTATGCTAACACCACCGCCACCAAGCTGCAATGATTTGCCGCGAATGAATACCGACGAATCTGTCGATTCATCTTGTAGTGGTGCGTCAAATGCAACATAGATTCCCATCCAGTTAGATTGAATTTGGTATTGATGACGTGAAAAATAATAACGGTAACTCCATTGAAATGATTCAAAACTAAAGTAACGATCCAATTTTTTAAAATGTAAGGAGTAGAAAGTACAGATATTTGTGTAAAAATGTAAGGAGTAGAAGTAAAAGTCGCCATAAAAATAAGTAGTAAAGTAAAGTAAAAATATCAGAAAAATCTACTTGAGTACAGTAACGAAGTATTTGTACTTCGTAACTTCCCATCTCTGTATATATATATATATATATATATATATATATATATATATATATATACATACACATGTATAGTCCTAAGGGCTGCTATCTGCTTTGTTGAAATTGCATTTCAAGAAAGAATAACAGCAACAGTGGATTACGAATCTAAGTTGAGCCGAAAGGAACAATTAACTAGCAGCTTCCTCGAAATTTAGTGGAGTAGAAAGTTATAAGCACTCTCCCAAAAAATTACTCAAGTAAAGTGAAGAAACTCAAAAAAAGCACTTAAATGCAGTAATCAATTAAATGTAGTTTGTTAATTGGTTATAGTGCTAGTTACTGGAAAATGTACGCAGTTACTATTGCATGATCCTCAAAAACATGTTAGTCCAAACAGTGATTATTTCACTTCTGTGCTGACCCTACGTATAAACGCACAGTATAAGCAAATTAAGATCAAAGTATGTTCCAGGACTAAATGTCTGACCGGAGGATTTCCAGTCTGCAGTGTGAACTCTCTAGTCCAGCAGACAGGAGTTTAACTCCTGAATCTTGCAGGTCGTTGTTGCTCAGGTCCAGTTCTCTCAAGCCTGATTTCTGCAAGCTGAGAACTGAGGACAGAGCTTCACAACTTCTCTCTGACAGGTTGCAATCATTGAGCCTAGAAGACAGTGAGAAATAAACACAACTTAATTTTATGAGACACTTTAAATGCTTAAATATTGTAGTAACTCAGTTAACAAAATACACTGATCTAAGACAGTTATAATGAGAGAACAATGAATGAGCCTGTGAAAGATAAAGTAATGTCAATTTTTCTGCCTTTTGCCAAGATTGATGTTTGAGACCAAATGACACTCAAGAACAAAACATACATTTTATATAAGTTAAATTAGATCATTTATTTTCATAAATATTCTGTGTAAGCTTTTATAGGTTTTCTGTTCTGTGTGTGATTGTTTGTCATGCATCAAATACAATACACCTGGATTTAAAGGATTAATGGAAGACATGGCTTGAATTTTTTCCTCATCTTTTTTCTTCTTCCTGTTGCTCTACATCCTCCTTTTGGATCAAATTGGAAGAGATGTTAATGAGCTGCTTCCAGGTGGAAAAAAAAAAAAAAAAACTTTTTATTGGCTGCTATTGATATGCGTCCTACCAAAAATGAAAAGATATCGGTGGAAATCCTTTCAGCTGCACAACATCCAACATAGGTGGTTAAAAAAAAAAAAAATGTTTTTTTTAAATGATCAAGAAATCAATTAATTTAAGTTCTTTTAAAAAAATCCTCAAAATAAAGCAGCCACTCCAACATAGAACAACCATAAGCTGCATAACTCTACATAAACACCCCTAACATTCAGCTCAATCAAATGAAATGTACTTTGAAAAGTGTCAGCAATAAAAAAATTTAATGTTTTGGTTTTAACATGATTCAGCAGGAGTTTACTAAGCAACATAATTTAGTCATATTTTGCATTAGAAATGTCATTTAAAGCTAAAAGAGGGTCACAGAACTTATTGGTCTGAATCTGCACCTTGATGCCTTACAGCTCTTATGGCCCGTTTAGAAAAGATGCAAAATGCACTGAAATCTATCATTTCTAATGGCTTAGGTTGGGCAGTTGCCTGACGTAGGGATAAACCACCATGGAGCAATTTGTTGAAATTAATACATTTCAGAGCACAGCGGCATACAAGTAGCATTCTGTCTCAAAGGGTCATCAGTTTTCACAAAATGATTGAATTTTACTTTCTTTAATTTTATTATCACAATGTTTTAGCTTCTCAATTGATTAAGATATCACAAAGTCTAACGACTGTGTGATATTTTGGAATATTTTATGTCAAAAATAGCTTTATATGTAAATTTACAAGTCATAGATCAAGAGGTTGGCATTTTTGTCTGGTCTCATTTCACTACAACCCTTTTTTGTTTAGTTAACCAAATGCTAATAAAACTTAATTATATTTTAGTTCTGACATCTGATTTTTTTTTTTTTTTTTTTGCCCAATTTCTCAGAAAATTCTGTAGACAAAAAACTGCCATTTTTCATAATTCAGTATGACGCTTAGTTATTGGCTTTCTTCCAACATATACTCAGAAAAGGCGGGAATTACTATAGCATTCCCTTAATCACTGTAGATTGTATAGCAAACTCAGTTAATTGACCGTTTGGAGAGATGATCACTGATTTTTACTCCCCGTTGGTTACGTAACTCCTCCTCCACTGCATGGTGCCTGCCCTATCTTTTTTATTAGTCACCGCTGGTGGGTGGCAAGAGCCTATGTTGACAGCGGGCCGCTAAAACAGGAGAGCTCTCCCCGCAAAGCATTCTGGGATATATCAGCCTCTTCTGAGGCCGTTCTTTTCTTCTCATACATTTCTTAGACACTTTTTCTCTTACAATCCTCGGCCATTTTCAAAGAACCGTGTTGAGAAAGGAGAGCTTCAATGACTGAAACCGTAGCTCACCTCTGATATTCGCCTGAAAGTGACCATGCGCATTTAAAGATAGCTAACAGGACGAGTGTGTAGGCTGGCCTTACCTGAACATATCACTAGAACAGTTAGGAGGACCACTTATTTAGATGATCCACCCAGATATAAAAGCTCATCCTCTATACCTTTAAGTGAAGCAAGTTAAGATTTAGTTAACAAAGTTGGGTACAGAAGACCACAGTGGATGGCGGTGAGTATGAAATAAATACAGGAGGGATCTATTGTCATTGATGGCCACCTATCATTTAAGCCTCATGTTCACTGTCTAGTGAGAAAGTTGAGACTAAAATTGGGTTTTTACTTTCAAAATAAGCTGTGACGCAGCCTATCATGCATCTGTGAGCTGTATTCTCATGTAGGGTGGTCTGCCTTGGCTACACGGAGGCTTTGTCATTGATATATATTTATATATAAGGCTATTCTTGGTGCGCTGCCATCTTATTTATGTTCACTTCTTATGAAAAAAGTACTGGTCATTACTCTCTCCGTTCTCAGGCTGTTGTCTTGTTTTCTATCCCACGTGTCAGTACTGAGCTGGGCAAAAAGGCCTTTGCTTACTCTGCACCCTTTACATGGAATTTGCTGCAAAATAACCTGAAACATAGTAAATTGGTTCCTTTTAATACTTTTAAGCTGAGAATGAGATGTTTTGAGTTGAACTCCCTCACATGTCAATGTCTTAAATGAAATTTTATTGTAAGTGCATATTTGGCTTTTATGTGTGTGTCTTTGTACGTATGTAATGATGTGATGTAATTTTTTATACCTATCTTGGCTAGGTCTCCCTTGCAAAAAATATTTTAATCTCAATGGGTATTACCTGGTTAAATAAAGGATAAAAAAATATATATTCTAGAGCAACAGGTTTAAAGAAAAGTCCTTCTATCTTTGACTGTAGGATTGGGCTGCAACTGCTGCATCTGACTCAGTGTTTTTGGGGGAGGGAGGAGTTTGTTTGCTCACTCACATCGTTTGCTTTCACATTGTCACAGAAGTCTTCAACAGGAAAGAAAATAGTAGCCAGATCTGTCACTAGTTGCTTTTTTGAAAAATTAAAAAAAAAAAGTCCCTGAAGGGTTCTGACAAAGTTGCTAAGTTGGCAACAATGCGTTCACCTGCCTTTGTATGCTGATGGCAGACTTAACAGCACGGGATTAGCGTTTTCACAGGACTTCCCTCAATGTGTCCAAATAAGGAGGTAAATCTGTTTAAAAACACCATTTCTGTGGCCTTTACTTTCATGAAAAGGTGGTGTATTGGCATACTTCCATTGTAATTCTAAAACTTTAAATGTAAGCAGCATTTTTTTTTTCAAAGCTTGGGGTAACTTAGAAATATCACAGAAAAAAGGACTTAGCACAAATGGAGCCTGAGAGTCACCACCTGATCCGACCCGGAGGCACGATCTGTACCATCAGCTCCTTTGTGCATGCGCAACCAGATACAGTATACATCTGGGTTTCAATAAATGTAATGTAATTATGGTACTAAAATTACTTATTTATATCCTTAATTCAATAAAGAATGCTCATAGACACCTTTAAAAATGTTTTATGAGTTTTTTAGACAATTTTGATGCTTATTACTAGCCTGACGTAGTCCGACTCAATTCTAGTCAGAATATGAGTCTGATACTGCTCCATAGAGCTGTGATTATGGGGCGTGTTTTGAACGGACCAGGAAAAAAAATGCCTCTGCACTCAATTGGATAGATCTACAACCAATAAGAGCAACGGAGTGCGTGACGTATCTTAAGCGAGGCATAGTTGTTGTCCACAAAAATCAAAGCGTGCAGTTGCACGCCTAGAATAAGAAGATGAGCCTTGATCGCGTTTCTCTGTTCCTCTTTTAAAATTAATTTGCTGTCGATATCTTCTAGAACATACCTAATAGCAGAATCTACTCACCCAAACTCTCCAGCGGCAGCCATTATTGTTGTCACCCAAGCGCGCTTTGGTCACGTGGTTGATAACGTTACTCTTGATCATCTGTCCATCATCGTATAAAGCCCGCCCTGACAATTTGATTGGATCGCCTGACAGTGGGCTTTAATACTCGCGCTACTATGGAGCAGAGCCAGACCGAACTTCCCCGACCTCAAACCTTGTGGGCGGGACTAAGTTCGGACTGGCACCCAGGCTAGCTTATTACATTTTCTCCATTAAACTGTTTCTCTGACGTCATCATCGGACACGCTCAGAGCAGTCTGTCAAGATATGATTACACCATGTTTATCTGCATTTTAATGCAGACTATAAACCATAATGTCAACATAGAGGAAAACATAAAACACAAAAAGACTAAATTTAGGTTTAAATCCAAAACCGAAATAGTTGCCTCCCGGCAGTAGCGTAGGATCCCGTTTCCGGTACAGATCGGACACAGACGTGTGATAAAACAGAAAGGATTTAAAGGCATTTATTTTCTCAGGAACTATATAATTAACCTTTAACACATTATAATTTAGAACGTTTACAATTTTTGGGGAGGGTAAAACGTAGTTTGGGTCTTTTTTACAAATTAAAATTGAGGGCGACCCGGATGTAAATCTGGTTGTATATGCGAATATGAGCTGATGTTACGGATCGTGGCTCCAGGACGGATGGGAACACTGAGCAGGACCACAGAACATAGCTCAACTGTGAAAACAGGAAGTGAATTTGATACGTCCCACCAACAGCAGCGCCCTCTAGTGGCCTGTTCACAAATGAGGGGAGAATGGAGCGGGAGATCGATAGGCAGACCCTGTTCTGGTCTGTTGTGATGAAAAGAGAAAGCTAGGGAGTGCTTTGGCTCTCCATTTAGCTGACAGTCTACAGTCCTACCCTCACATATGGTCATCCAATCGTAGTCATGACTAAAAAAAATTTCTTCTATGTTATATGCAAAGGTCTTGGGAAATTTGGGGAAAATCTTTGTTCTGTTGAACAAAGATAAATTAATAGATCTATATTTTGCATTATGTGGAGTCCAGCAACAAACATAAATATATATATAAATATATACTTACAGAGCTCTATTTGAGGCTTTGACCACTGTCAGAAGTCTAATAAGAGCCTCCTCTGAAGCGGAGTACTTTTTTAAGTCAAAGACTTCCAGATGTTCTTTTGATGATAGCAGTATGAAAGTCAGAGCTGACCACTGGACAGCAGATAGTTTATCAGTGGAGAGACTTCCTGAACTCAGGTACTGTTGAATGTCATTTACAAGAGAATGATCATTCAGTTCATTCAGACAGTGGAACAGATTGAGACTTTTCTCTAGAGAAAGATTTTCACCAATCTTTTTCTTGATGTACTGGACTGTTTCATGGCTGGTTTCTGAGCTGCTCCAGGGTTTTACCATCAGTTCCTTAAGTTTATCTTGATTTGTCCGCAACGAAAGACCCAGAAAGAAGCGAAGGAACAAATCCAAGTGTCCGTTTGGAGACTGCAAGGCTTTGTCGATATAAACTTGGTTGGTTTTGGAAGCTCTTGTTTTCGGGACAGAATGCATTTTTTTGGACCTCTGGGGTAAAAATAAATGTTTGTAGCTGTTGCTAAGAGACATTCTTACATAAACAGCAGCCAGAAACTCCTGAACGCTCAGATGGACAAAGCTAAACATCTTTTCTTTATCTTTCCTGCCACGTACTTCTTTGAAGATCTCTGTGAATAATCCTGAGATCACTGAGGCTTCTTTCAAATCAACACTGGTCTCAATGAGATCCTTCTCGTAGAAGATCAGGTTGCCCTTCTCCAGCTGATGATAAGCAAGCTTTGCTAAGGATTTGATGGACTGAATAGACATCTCAGAGCCATATTTCTCTTTAGAGTGATCCATCTGAAACACCAGGAACTCTGTATACATCTCAGTCAGGCTCTTGGGGAGATCTCCAGTGCCTCTGGTTTTTATCATATCCTCCAGAACGGTAGCTGTGATCCAGCAGAAGACTGGAATGTGGCACATGATGTGGAGACTTTGTGATCCCTTGATGTGGGAAATGATCTTGTTCGCCCGCCTTTCATCTCTGAACCGTTTCCTAAAGTACGTCTCTTTTTGAAGGTCAGTGAACCCTCTGACCTCATTCACGCTGCTAACAAACTGCCTGGGAATCTGACTGGCTGCTGCTGGTCTCGAAGTTATCCAGATTCGAGCAGAGCGAAGAAGTTTCCCATTGATGAGTTTCCTCAACAGAACATCTGGTGTGGCTTTCTTTTTTACATCAGTGGATCTACTGTCGTTCATGTGAAGATCCAAATGAAGTCGGCTCTCATCCAGTCCATCAAACACAAACAGAAGCTTAAATCTACTTTTGTCATAGTTGCTGTTTCCAGAAGACTGCAGCGTTTTAAAGATGTAATTTAGAGCCTCCTTTTTGATATCAACAGTTTCTGGGATACATTCATGGATGAGCTGCGCTAAACTGAATTTTTCTGCTCTTAGTGGATTTAGCTGACGGAAGGTGAAGGGGAAAATAAGATCTATGTTTTCATTGGATCTTTGTTCAGCCCAGTCCAAAACAAACTTCTGCACAAGGAAGGTTTTCCCAATTCCTGCTATTCCGTTGGTCAGTATGGTTTTTATGGGCTGGTACTCTCCTGAAGGATGATTAAACATGTCTCTGGGTTTCACTCGTATTTCTTCTGCTGGCTTTAATGGGTTCTCAATCTGCCTGACCTCATGTTGTGTGTTGATGTGTACATCACATCCAGCAGTGATGTAGACCTCTGTATAGATATCCACCAGGCGTTGTTTATCTTCAGCCCAACCCTCCTGTGCGCACATGAACTTGTCCTGGAAGTTTGACTGAAGCATCTGTCGATAAAATGTGATGGGATGCGGCTCAGGAACTGGAACCATTTCCTCTGTTTGATAGGAAAATAAGTTTTGTTTGAAATTAGTATTTCTCATGCAACAACATTCACAAATTAATATTACTGTTGTTAGAAGCCTTAATGTGATGCCCCCCCCAGGCAATAAAATACTATAATCATTAAAACGTTTACAAGGTTTCACTTCATTTATGAAACTATGTTTGGATTTGCTGAAATCCAAACATAGTTTCCTAATAGAATGAAAAATCCACCTGTTGTGGAAGGTGGTCCACCTGATTTCCCATCAATTAGCAAAGCGGAAATAAGTTTTCATAGAGATATATATTAGAGGTAGCCTGTTTGATTAAAATTATTAGTAGGCTTATATTAAATGTTGAATATCTTTCAGGTTTGTAACCATTCCTCAGGTAGAGCTGTCCTCCCTAGTTTTCAATAAGAAATCCTCACCTATTTCATTTCCATTTAGTTTATTTACGTCAATGTATCTCAGCGTATGCTCATACATGGGGCATAATTTACAGGTTTGTAATTTGATCGTTGACATAAGTTAAGTGTAAGTTAATCTTAATTTATGCACAAGTTCCTCATTGGCTTTGGATAAGCTAGACAGAATGACTTATGTATAACTTATCAAGAACTTATCTGCAACGCATATCAATGTAGCTGACGTTTTCCAGTCGACCACTGAACGTGTTTCCAACATACAGCTTCTGTATAATGGCATATTGGCAACAATCTTCCTAGCAGACATGACGCTGAATCTGCTGCGACTGCAAGCCTTCTTTCTTTCTTTTTCATTTTTTTTTAGATTAACACCGCAATCAAAGACATCTTTTTATGCAGGCCGGAGTGCTTGCAGGCACATCGCTGCTCCCCTCAGGACACTGGCTTGTGCATCAATTCATGGGCATTACGCTGCCGTGTGTTTTTGCATAAGTTAGGCTGTTGTTGGGCATACGCTCTGGACTCGTTATGAATATGCTATGTACATGCCGGAAATTGAAAAAAATATATAGAAAGTTCAGTGTATGCCAGCTTTTTAGAAGAATCTGGGATGTCAGACATAAAATGTCTAAATCGGCAAGGTGTGACAGGGCCCTACGGGAAAAAGCTGGTTGCATCGCCTCTTTAACTATTCATCAATCCTTCACACAAAACATGCATGTAGTGACAGTGGAGAAGAAAACTCCCTTTTAACAGGAAGAAACTTCCAGCAAAACCAGACTCAGTGTGAGTGGCTATCTGCTGAGGCTGACCAGGGTTAAAGGAGAGAGAAGCAGACATAGAAAAAGAAACAAAGATACAAAAGGCAACCGGCTCCAAAGGCAGACAGAGCCAGACAGATGAGCTCTGAGCCAGCTGCAGAATTTGAGAATAGATTGAGAATGTAGCAGAATGATGAAAAGGGGTCCCTATGTCCTCCAGCAGTTTAAGTCTATAGCAGCAGAACTATAGAGATAGCTCAGGATAACATGAGCCCTTTAACTAGAAGCTTTATGAAAAAGGAAAGTTTTAAGCCTAGCCTTAAAAGTAGACAGGGTGTCTGCCTCACAGAATAAAACTGGTAGTTGGTTCTACAAGAGAGGGGCCTGATAGCTAAAATATCTGCCTCCCATTCTACTTTTAGAAATCCTATGAACCACTAGTAAAGTACTCTGTTAGGGATATAAGGAACAATCAGATCTCTGATATCAGAGGGAGCTTGGTTAATTAAGGCTTTATATGTGAGAAGGAGGATTTTAAATTATTTTCTGGATTTAACAGGAAGCCAATGAAGAGAAGCCAGGATAGGAGAGATATGATCTCTCTTTTTAATTTTCATCAGAACTCTGGCTGCAGCATTTTGAATCAGCTGAAGGCTTTTCGCTACAGTTACACTTAACTACATTTACACTGAATGGGAGGCGGATCCTTTGGTTATGAGGCTCCTCTTCTGTAGGAGTCTTAATGACACAGACACCCTGTTTACTTTCAGGAGGTAAGCTTATAGTTAGAAAGTTAAGTTTATCCAGAGCTATTTCTATTGTGATGTGGCTATAGGCTTATTCTGATGGAGAACAATCAAACCACTTTTCATCTTTCTGCTTTATTATTCTCCTATTCTGAAATATCTATTAGTTTAACCCATAACGTTTTGCTCTCTATCCTTTTCACCTGTCATGCTAGCTACATCTCGGCTGTTCTTCTCTGGCTCAGACACCATCATGGGGGCGAAATCATCAGGGCTGCCCCACCTTCTATTAGAGACGATAGAGTTGAGCCTATTATTCAATGCTAAGTCCTACTTCTCTCCTAGATATAGCTATGGGCTCAGCTTATTTCATAAATGCATGTTCTCTCTTTCCTCCCTTTTGGTTTTCAAACTGGCTCAAACCTTGTCTGCTTTGCTGTTTCCCAGACAGAGCCACCTATGGAGCTAGTTCATCATCATCTTTACTAATATAAATTATATATGGATCCATACGTCTATGCTCCCTTTGTAAGTTTTTTTCTGCCCCCTTGAACCCCAGTCGGACGTGGTAGGAGGTCTCCCAGACTGAGCTTGGTTCAGCGGGAATTTTCTTAGAGTAAAAGTGATTTTTTTACTCTACACTGTTGCTTCATGCAAGCTCGGTGTGAGGGATGGCTTTAAAGTCAATGAAGCAATGCAAGCGAGTTTATTGTGCTCATCCAGGAGGGGCGTATCCTGCAAACTATGACTCAACTGAGCCGTTTTACTTTAAAAAGAAAACTATCCACAAGTGTGACTATATGATTTGAAACTGCATTAATCTAAAAGTTAAATCGTATCTAGTTAATCAATTTTTCATGAAATTTCAATAAGAAAACTTAAAAAAGGTAAAATACCAATATCAAAAGTCACAGAAAAGCAATATTATAAGAATGAGTGATTTCAAACTATTATACATTTGTTCTTTTTGAATTAACTACATACCAGTTATTCCACGAACTTCCTTTTGAATTTGAGGAAGAGGAGTCTGAATAGGAGATGTTAAATGGCCTGTGTCCTCTGAAATTCTCCCAACATCACTCACATCCACTGAAAGGCAGAAATAAAACTCAGAAACTAAGATAATCTTACTACTTTTAAAAATGTGTGTCTCATTTTATAACTGACCTTCTGTTCTCAAGCTGCTGGAACACAACATTTGCAGCAAGTCATTCCTGTTGATCTTCTCTAAAATGTTCTTGGTTACCTTTACAGCTCCAGAGAGACTATAGGTCTGGACCATCAGGTCCACGGTGTCCTGCCTATTTGCTGTCTGAAGATGGCTCTTTTTTATGGCTGGGAAACCCAAAAGATGACTAGTCTGTTGAAGGAGCCACTTGAATTTAAGGAATTCTTCCTCTACCAAGTCCTCCAGAAAGTTCAATAGCTCCTCTGGTGTCATTGTGGGCTCTTACTAGTGTTTTATACTGTCCTAAATGGTGTGATCGGATGTGTCATCACATAAATTACATTGTGGAGTTTGGTAATAGAAACATGTTCTCCTGGCAGCTATGATGCCTGTGGCATCATAGGGCCTTTTGTTTTGCCCAAAGGATAATGGGTTGTTACCAGCAATAGTTGGTGATTATTGCTCCTCATCCACCACCACCCTGAAAAAAATAATATTTTTTAATAAAGCATAATTGTCAAATAATAAATACATTAATCTATTTATGTGAAATGAATTTGAAGGAAAGAATAAGAAGGAAACATAACATCTTTTGCAGACCTCAATCTATAGCACCTTATGAGTGTATGAGTGATTTGCTGGGAGTCCCAGGCCAGAAGAGGTAAACTAACTGTTCTTGCAAGTCGTCAGTCTGTGGTGTAATCTTGCTCCAATTGGGTGTGCATAGAAACCCTCTAAATTAAAGATTTTAGATCATATTCAAATGCCCAAACCACCTCAACCAACTCATCAAAATTGAAGAGCAACAAATCCAATGCCGGCTCACCCGGTTCATGTTTATCCTCAGCTGGAATTAAACATTGGAGCATGAGCTACACAATAAAACATTTTAACAATCATCACAATGTACATTAAATTCAGTTAAGTTTATTTATATAGCACCAATTCACAACACAAGTCATCTCAAGGCACTTTACAGAGACAATTCAACCAGATCATCCAGTCAAATTGATTCAAAGTTTTCTATCTAAGGAAAACCAGTTGATTGCATTGACTCATTGACTCAAATGCAATCCTTCACATTGAGCATGCTTGTAGCAACAGTGGAGAGGAAAAACTCCCTTTTAACAGGAAGAAACCTCAAGCAGAACCAGGCTCAGTGTGAGCGGCCATCTGCAGAGGCCGACTGGGGTTCAAGGAGACAGAAGCAGAGATACAAAAAGCAGCTTTAAAGGCGGAACCGTCCAGAAAACACACAGCCAGGCAGACGAGCTCTGAGCCAGCTCCCATGTGCCCCTTAAGTCCTATGACAAGTCCTGTTACATAACCCAGTTTGTTCCCATCTAACACATTGAAACAGCAGAGATCCGAACCAAACCGCACCCCAGCTTATGGAGGGAAGTTGGGTGACATGAGTTAGTCCTTGGTAGCTTTAACAGCTTTGAAAATGTGCAATGACCAAGAGAAATTAGCTGAGATTTCGTCATTAAAAAAAGATGTATTTGGAATAATTTCAGCTACAATTATGACTAAACGCATGTTCTTTTTCAACGAGTGAGAACAACGAATTAGTTCAACCATTTATGTTGTCACAACACAGCTCAGTAGAACATTTAGGATAGGGTGACCAAACGTCCGTATTTCCCATGACATGTCCGTATTTCACGTCCTGTCCCGGGCGTCCTGGTTTTTTTTTAGAAAGTGAGGAAATGTCCTGTTTTTTAAATTACCTTAATTCGACTATTCAATTTACAGGCACTAGGGCACTGCGCACGACGCTGACGTAATCCCTGAGCCGCGTCAGTGCGGGCAGCCCTGTTCTTAATCAGAATAAAGATAGCGTGGCTGTCAGTACGCCAACAACATGCAAAAGCGCAAATGTATGTTTAACGACGATTTACAAAAGAGTTTTCCCACTTTCAGACCGGATCGAGAGACACATTGGATGCCTTGTGCACAGTATGCAAAGCAGGCACATATGTCTCGGTGTCCAATGGAGGTGCAAGGAATCTGAAAAGCCACCTGGACACCGAAAGTAAAGATAGTCTATTGATATGTTTGTTCGTTTTTGGTACATTTTGAATAATTTTTGCTACACAAGAGGTATTTTTTGTTAATTAGCTCATTTGTTAATTTATTTTTTCCAATAGCCTACAGAACAGACATTATTTAGTTCATTACTGAGGCTGAATATCATCTGTTATTGAGAGTTATTGTTAACTTTTATTGTTAAGTGAGGGATGTTTAGATGAGACATTATTTCTTTCATTGTGCTTTTCATTTATTACAGGAATTGTTAAGCATTTTTAAGAAATACATTTTGAATAAAATGATCGTTTGTTATTGAAGTTATTGCTGTTGACTTTTACTGACAGGCATTTTTAATAAATCAACTGTAGATATTGACATCTCTATGCACTCTCTATGCATTGGAGCAGAGATCCCAAAAAAGTATAAAGGTTTGAAATATAAGTCAGAGCAGAAAGTCCTGATTAAGATGAACATTGTAAAAGTTTAACAGCTGAAAAAGCTATACAGAAGTTGTAGTGATTCAAAAAGTTTACGGAAGCAACCAGAAGAAAAAGAGGCTCTCAATAGTGTGAATGCTTGTGAAGCATTCCTTATTATGCACACATGCTCTGTTGCACTGATTTGAAAGATTGAGAATTTGACCAACTAAATGGCTTAAACTGAATATTAAAAAGATAATTTGGAAGACACTAAGAAGGCTGGCACTGTGCTGATATATCAAGTTTTGTTTAAATTGTATTTTCAAGTTTTGTAATAAAGATGGGCAAACATAGACCTGCCTTTGAGATGTCAAGTTTTGGATTAAAAGACTTTCTGATTTAAAAGTCATTTTGTCTCTCATCGTTCGGAACTTAATGCAATTATGTTGCTAGAATGTTACAGAATAGATCCACGGCATCGACGTGGCGGCATTAACAGGGCAGTGAGAGACATAGTGGTAAAGTTCACACACAGGCAGATCCAACATCACCAGTGTTACTATACACTCCTGTCAGTACCAATTAAAAATAAACTCAACTAGCCTCAGTTCTGTCCTCATATAACATTTATAAAAAAAACTTTCTCCCAGTTTTTTTCTGAATTCAGAATTTCTCCCAGTCAAATAAATGGACATGTGCACAATATTTGTTTGCATTAAAATAGTGATTGTAAGGGAGTCCTTTTCATGTACTTCTCTCCATGATTTCAGTGTTTCTATGATGATCCCCATTATGGATGATTGTTTATGTAAATAATCAAAAGGTCTACATTTCAAATCGCCAATTTTTTAAACAAACCAACAGCAGCAAAGCTCTAATTGATGGAATCAAATAAATGAATCCTTTTTTTTTTTTGCAATTGAAAGCAGGAGTCAAAATGTGTCCAAGACTCACCAATTATCCAGAGCTGTAGTTTCCCTGCCTGGAGTTTCTAAAGGTTCTCCTGCAGGCAGTCAGAACAGAGCCTATGGAGTTTTATGAAGGAATTAAATAAACTGAAAGCAACTGAATGAATATGATTAAATCAAATTTAATTGAACTGACAGGCAAAGACAAAATTGTGCACAAATAGGAACCATAAATGAGGAACATCACCCAGTTCTGCTTCAAAAAACAGCCGAGCAGGATGTTGGATGACAACATAACGAAAAGAAATGACAAAACACTTAGTTTCCGTTATCTCAACAGAACTACACAGACTGGGAAACTTCCATAAACTTCCCATGAATGAAAGTGTGGTTGTAAAACTGTTCTTTGCACACAACATCAACAGCCATCTAAGGCTGTGGTTCTGCAAGCTTTTACTACAAGTACCACCTCAGTATATACTTCATTTTACAACATACCATCATTTTTCACAGACTTTAAAAAATACTTTGATTTCCAGATTTGTGTTTAATATATTGAAGCAAAAAAGAACCAAAACTATCATTTGTTGTTCAAAGAATGCAGTTTTTAATCACTCTGGTAAATTCAGGTTAAATATATATAGTGCTAATTCACAACACATCATCATATGTTGAAATGCCAAAGACTAAAGTAAAAAAAAAAATAAAAATAAAAATAAAAAATTATATATATATATATATATATATATATATATATATATATATATAGTTATCATGATCAGAAGCCATTATATTGAGTGACAAAGTTGAAGGTTTCTGACAATTGTAAACTTAAAATTTAACATGGCTGCCTTACATTTAAATGTCACTGACAGGGAATACCTATACATTGTTTAACAGGGATTTAGCTTTAATAATCTGATAGTGGATTTAATGAAATCATTACATAAGTCATAATTAAAGGAAACATATCAGAGACTGTTAACCTACATAGAAGATGCAGACAGAGGTGTTCCTTCAACCCAATACTTTTTGCCCTGTTTATGGAACCCCATTGCACAAATGATCAGAGAGGTATAGACAGATATGGGGGATTGCAGGACAACAAAAGAAGCCAAATGACCCCCATTCCAAAGGGGGTTTTCTAAAAAAAAAAAAAAAAAAAAAACAAGGCTTTGTTGGTCTACTGTATAAAGCCCAAAAAACTCAACTCTATTTGCATTGAAAAAGTTTCCTGGATGGGAAGCGAAACATCTTCAAACTTGAAAACAAAGTCCAGTGGATTGTTTTTTTTTTTCAGAATGACTATGACCTGGATGACTGAGAATCTTTACCAGCATATCAGACAGGACAAAGATATTCTTATTGGAGCTGATCATCACAAGGAATGTCCATATGCTGATTAGTTCTTTTAACATTTTGTCAAGATTTGGTTGTGGTGCGAGGACCCAAATGCAGAGACAGGGAGGCAGAGATTTATTGAAGTGTTTTCAAACAACTGAAGCAGAAATCCAAAAATCCAAAAGTACATCCAACAAGAAAAAAGTTTAACCAACCAGAAAACATGGAGACATCAGGGGGGAAGACTATCAAGAGGTGGAAGACAGAGTTGGAGGAAGTTTGACAAAGAACCAGCACTGAAGAACTGCACAGAGAGAGTATTTATGGGAGAGTGAGAAAAATAGAGGACTAACAAGGAGATTAGGAGCAGATGTGAAACAGAGCAGAACAGGAAAGGAGCAAAGGAAAAAGGAGAACACAAGAGGGCAGCAGAGGGCAACAAATAAAAACCTGAAAACTGAAAATAACCAGAAAACACAACAAAATAAGAATTAAACCACTAAAACTAGAAAACAAGGAGCAAAGTAAAACTGAATACTCAAAAGAAAACATAAAAGAACCAAAACTATGACACATTTACGAATCTAAATAATTCCATAATGATTTTGCTCATCCTACTAAAAAAAGGACTATAATTATATATTTGAGTTATCAGTTTGATTTGCACAGAAGTCAAACTCTCACCTTTAATTATATGCTTCCTGAAAACATTGGTAAATGAATCAATTCAAATGGAAAAAGCATAGGAGTAAATACATGCATAAAAATACATATCATAACTGCTAATTTTTGAATGAAATTAAAAGTATTTAAACTGCTGGTGATTGATTTACATGAATGTGTTTAACCAAATTGAGATGGTTAAGATGCATATTCTACCCAGGCTGCTGTCTTAGTCAGTCTTTAAATGGGTAACCTCAAACCTGAATAAAACAGATTCATTTCAACCTTTATCAAGGAAAAGAAAAGGCACCGCAGCTCTCTACAAACAATGGTGCTATGGCTCTACATTGCCTTAAATATTGTTACAGAACATCCATCCATCCCACGTTCCAACACGCTTATCCCTACTGTTGTCGCGAGGTGTGCTGGTGCCTATTATTGCAGAACAGTACAGTGCAGTCCTAACATGGAGTTCAAATTGTTGGATCTGGAGCAGAGTAGATCAGACAAACCATCCCACTTCATATTTGATATGCGAAATGTAGAGTGCAAACATTTTAAATATCTACCACAATATTGCTATGACTCTAAATTTGAGTCATCAGATTTTAGCATTCCTACCTGAGGAAATTTGGAAACCTTCCAGCATTTTACAAATTCTTTGAATTTAGAGAAGCAAGACTGTATTTAGTGTTTGTCATTAAAATAATTTAAAAAATCTATTCTTTCCTTGTTAAAACTAAATGAAAAAAATATGCAAACATAAAATTAACAGAATTAGATTGATAAAATGTATGCAATAAACACAATGTATTACCTCTAGCTTCCACCAGTGGACAGAATTCACCTGGAAAATTCTTTATTCCTCGCAAAATGAAGCAAATTAATAAACAAAGATCCAAAGCTTGGAGATTACTGTAGAATATGTGGGAATGAGTCTGCAGGTCCCTTTCACATTTTTTGTCACTGTACTGAGATCTCCCCCTACTGGAGAAAAATTATGACTGCAATCAGATCCCTCATCAGGTTAAATATTAACTTTTTCTTTTTGCTATTTATTCAGGATTGGGATCCCAAGTTAGGAAAGATCACATCTACTGATAGCTGGTAGTAAGACAGCTATTGAAAATGGCTGAATACAAAACTGCCAATAATTTTCTGGAAGATATGCCACCAAAAAGTGGAATGTCTTTGGAAAAAATAAATGTGGTATTACAACCTTAATTATAGTCTGTTAAGTTTCTTTTTTTTTTTGTAGGTTTTTGGCTTTGACTTAACGGTCCATGTAGACTTTTTAAAAAAAACAACAGAAACAGGATTCTTATGCATCCCACTGTATCTCATTTATTTCTGATCAATTATAACTCTAAACCTTTAGATTTACCTTGATACGCTTTTGAAATATTACAAGAAAGTTAAACATTTTATAATTAGCAGATCCCACTGGTTTCTATAATCAGGAACTGAAAAAAGTACCTTGAAGAATTCCATTTTCCATTCTTTGTAAAATATATCCCCTATCTTCACTTGTATATCGATCATTATACAGGATTATTGCACAGGGTGTTTACATTGTTATTTATATAGATGGATATTTATATATAGTTATTGCATTGGGTGTCAAATGTAGAGAAACAGGTTATTGCAAAGGGTATCAAACGGTAAATTGCACATTATATATTGCACAAGTTGTTGCTGTTGTACTGTCGTGTTGTAGAGTCTGGTGGCAGCAGCATATGTTACTTGAACTGCATAGAATAATTAATAAACACAGTTGTGAAACTCTTAGTTTACAGTATATTTAAAATGTAAGTATTTTAGTAGGGTCCATTTTGCTTTACTTTAATTCTCAGAAAAAAATCCAAAATATAGAAAATAATGGATATTGTGTGAACATTTTTTCACATAACTACAGATAACTTATTTTTACACAATAACTATTACTGCACTATAAAAAGTCAACATTTTAAAACTTTGTTTTGAATTTAAAATGTGTGAGGCCGTAATCAGTAACATGAAAATTTTATTTCAGTTTAACATGGGGAAAAAGTCCGAATTCTGACTTTTTTCTTAGAATTCTGACTTTTTTCTCAGAATTCTAACTTTAATCTCAGAATTCTGACTTTTTTTCTCACAATTCTGACTTTAAACTCAGAATTCTGACTTTTTTCTTAGAATTCTGACTTTTTTCTCAGAATTCTAACTTTAATCTCAGAATTCTGACTTTTTTTTCTCACAATTCTGACTTTAAACTCAGAATTCTGACTTTTTTCTCAGAATTCTAACTTTAATCTCAGAATTTTTACTTTTTTCTCACAATTCTGACTTTAAACTCAGAATTCTGACTTAAATCTCAGAATCTTGACTTAAAACTCAGAATTCTGACTTTAAACTCAGAATCTTGACTTAAAACTCAGAATTCTGACTTTTTTCTTATCTTATCTTTCTTCTCATCTATTCCCATCTGATTGAGTTTTATGAGTCCTTCTCTCCATAAGGAATCATGTATCCTATCATCATTATTTCCTTAATTTTTAAAGTTTTTCCTATATATCCTTACTGACCACTGTTGTTAATCCACCTGCTCTAAAGCCACATTGATAGTAATTAATAAAAATGACCTTATTTTCTCCATTCCTTTGCTTAAATCGGATGTTAATGCTGTGGGTACCAAACTACCTGTTCCACCTGGAAACTTTGGAGCCGCAGGCAGGCAGGCAGGCAGGCAGGACGCGCTGCATGCTGGGAGGAACCAAGCAGCTGACTGACTCCACCTTCACCTCCAGCCGTCACACACCGTCCAGCTGGCTGCTGCTGACCCTTACCGGACACCGCTGCCTTCACACCGAGCCATGGACCCGCGGTGCCGCTTTCTAATGGTGAGCTGCTCTCTGTCCGGGTCCGGCGGAGCCGGCTGGAGGAGCTAACGGGATGCTAGCTTCGGGGAAACAGGCTGGTTGTGTTTGAGTTTAGCCTTGTTCTGTTCATATCTGCTGCTTAATGAATTGGACGGGTCAGAATCTACCGACTCTATCTCTTTATAATATCCCAGCTGGGTCGGAACCGGGCGTTTGTGACGTAATTCTGTTGATTATTGTCTTAGTCCACAGCTTAGCTAAGCTAAGCTAGGCTAGCTGGAGTGAAGCAGGTGTTCGGCCTGTTAATTTAATTCTTCCTCTGACTGGACGTGTCTGTGTCCGGGGCTGGAAGTGTCCGAT